AAAATGTTTAGCAACATGTGTCTATAAAATGTTTAGCAACATGTCTACAAAATGTTTAGCAACATGTGTTTACAAAATGTTTAGCAACATGTCTACAAAATGTTTAGCAACATGTGTTTACAAATGTTTAGCAACGTGTGTCTACAAAATGTTTAGCAACATATCTAGCAACATGTGTCCACAAAATGTTTAAAAAACATTTGTCGACAAAATATTCATCAAAACGTATTTTATTTTACCTCCGGTTATATCTTTGTATGCCCTTATATTACTCACATGCGGTTTGCATTTCGTTTCAACAGGTGTTCGATGAGATTCAGCATGGGCGTTATGCCACTGCCAGCAGCAATAATCGCTATTTGCCGATGCGCCAATAAACGTTGCAGATGAAAATTACCGCGCGGCGCTGAGAGTAGTAACATTTGACCAGCTTTCTGTTGGCGCAAATGCATCGAAAGCGCGCCATCTCTGTAGCTTTTAACAAGGAAATGTAGGTTTGTTGCATAGTTTTCGTCGGTAACTGTACTCTGCTGCAAAAAACTAGCATTCACGGGCGTATAACTACGACGCACCAAATCTCCTGCGAAGATTAGCATTCAATTAAATATCGCTCTAATTATATAGCTTAGTTTTTAAAAAGTTCATTACCGTTTATCAGAGCCGCTACTGTCACATGATAACCAATGGGCAGTACCATCAAAACATTCTGCTTGCCATGCAAACTTAGTTCGAAGGAATTATGATTGAAATCCACGCAATTCACTACTTCATACTCATGCAGCAGCTCGTCAGACACGCTGGCTGAACATTTCGTCGCCGTGTGCGCGCCATACGTAGACCATAATGCAGGTTCGACTTTTGTGAGCGTTACCTCGATTTTGCCACTTTCGCTACCCACACGCACATCCTTCGGTGGCCACTGCACTTCACCGTGCAACTCAAATTCGAAGAGGTGATGCGCATCTACGATTTGTACCTGCAGCTGCAGCGCATTGGCATTGTTTCGACAAACGAACAGCCCGGGATTGCAAAGTTGGCGCGTATAAATATACAGCGTGACATCTTGACGTTTCTGTATCCAGTCAAAACGTGGCACTATCTCGCTGCTGAAGGCAACTGGTTTTTTGCTGGGAGGTTTGGCAAAGTCGGTGAAAGGCCCTATTTGTTTACCTTCAGGTATAGAATCCATTTTTACTAACGAACGCAGAGGACCAATATAGCATTTCAGAAGCAGTTGCTGGTAGTTAACCCAGGCGTGTACGTCATCGAACAATTTAGTGGCATCGCGCCCAACGCCGCGCATCAGTTCGTCCACTCCTGAATATAGTAAGCATTTACATATTCAAATCGAATTAAATTAATACATACATATGTACTTAATACTAACCACCCGGGTGGAAGTCCATGTAGCGAGTCACATTAAATACTTTGCCACGTATGGCCATCCAAGCATCTTCCCGTGTATTATGTCGCGCCAACTCCTCATTACTTACTGGTGTTACACGACCGCACGTACCCGCTAGATCTACGCCTGAGTTTCCAAGTCGTATCCAATCCATAAGCGAATGACCCGGCTTGAGCGCACATTTATTGCGCGGATTCCCCGTCGCGGAACCGGAGTTCAATTTCTGTGGAGCAGTGCTGGATGGCGCTAGCATTTGCCCGGTTTGCGCTGTAATTGGTAGCTGCAGATTGTTCATGGGCGATTTGCTGTTCGCATCGGACATTTTGTACTCTAAACTAAAGGCAGGATAAGATGGAGATTTTTAAATAAATTTTTAAAATGTGTTAACTTAAAACTCTGTAGTACGTATAACACATTTCGTGAGTTTAGCTGAGGCAAAAAAAGCGAATAATGGTTTTATTTTTCAGTTTCATAAACATGCTTGCCGTTCTTCGCAATGTTCACATCCGAACGTGTATTTCCGGTACATATTTGTTCTACGGTGTTATAAGCGGAAATAATTTTTTATAAGTATACATACATATGTACCTAAGTATGTAAGTATGAATGTATCAATGTGGTACTAATTTGAGAACTCTGTCGTTTTTTTTCTAATTTCTTCAGGCTAGAGTTTATCAAAAATTCTTATATTTAAAAATTGCGTTTTAAGTGCTTTAATCAAGTAACAAAAAATTCCGGTAACACTGGTCACACTTAACGAGTAAATTAATCTTTCCTCTGTGTTTTATATGCTCGTTCTTTTTAGCATTTTTGCTTTTTTTAGCTAGCAGTGTATTCAGTTTTAGACGAATCGTTGCGTTGATGAAATGTGAGTTGGATTTTTCTTAAATTAAATAAATAAGACAAGCATATACATACAAATTCGTTGTTTTCTGGGAGCAACTCTAAATTATTTAATTTAATTTAGTAGTTTGTTTATTTTTTCTGTGTGTGAGTGTTTTGATGTGTAAACTACTTGCCAGAAGATTGCGGAAAAGGAAGTAGGTGGAAGTGGGAATAATCGCCTCTAAAAAAATGGCTGTCACCAAAAAACGGAATGATAAGCGAATTCTGCTGATTTTAGTGCAAAATATGAAAACTAGTGTATAGTTATTTTATGAAAATATGAATTGAAGTTTTATGAAAATAAGTTGAAGTATGTAAAAAAAAACAAAACGTTATGCAATGTATCGGAGTGTCAGTAATTTTTAATGAATATCTTTGGTCTCCTATTTTCCCAGACGCTTATACCACTATATCTACAATCGTATCACACATCTTATAACTGGCAAGCGTTTTGTAGTACCAATAAAGAACACGATGTTGCCCGCTCGACCGGCATCAATGTTTTTCTTATCGTTAAAGTGCTAGTTTTTAACTAAACATTTGTATAACAAAATCATTGCAAGGTGTGTCACACAAGTATGTAGATTCATACATGCATACATACGGTATGTATTATATGTACATGTATATGTACATGCATACATATGTATATGCCACAGCCGCAGTGGCGTTTATGAAGACTCATTGGAGGAAGAATAATATGAATAAAAACAAACTTGACCTTCATACAATGGTATCGGCAGGCAGGGGTGATTTTGTATCATTAGTTTGTTGGAAATCGACATACTCAGCCTTATCATGAGTTTCATTTTCCCCTAAACGGTTCGCTTTTCACTTTTGCTTTCCATGGTTTTACTATGGGTGGATGAATAATTTTCGGGTGATTTTTTTTTGTAGGCGAAACTCAGGATAAGGCAGACTATTGTGATTTTAATATCAACTTTAATAACGTGCATAAATTGACAAGTTTCTTCAAAATAATTTCCATTTATTTAATTTTAATACTTTTTTTTAAATTAAAATATAACTTATTTAACAAAAAAAAACTGTAAAAATCAAAGTTTCAAACTATACAAAATTTATAAAAATTCAACAAATTATAAGACAAATTTTTATCTGTTTTATCAGAATAATTAGGAAACTTTTGTGTTTGAAGTGCTCGAAATTTGCTTTGTTTTTTGAGAAAATACCGGGGACTGCCAGCAAAAAAAAGTATTTAAAATCAACGCGGGTATTATACTAAAGCTAAGTTAAAATTTACGAAAATTGTGAATGAAAAGTTTGAAATTTTAATGAAAATGTGTTGAATTTTTATAATTTTCGTAAAAAGAGTGAATGGAAATGGGTTTTGTGGCCAAATTTCTTTTGAAAATCACATTTCGCAGAGAAAATCCACTTGCTTGCATATAAAAAAAAAAAATAAAAAATTAAAAATAAAAATTACTTAATTTTATGAGATGTCTTTTTAAATTCATTTATGTATGCAAATGATTTATTTTTCAATTCATTTTTTTTTTTGGTTTTAATTTGTTAGCTTTTAATTAAGTTACCTGATAAAAATCTAAAGAATTTGTTGATGATTTTATTTACACACTTATAAGATTTTGCCTCTCGATACAAAAATAATGTCCTTTTGAAAAACCCTATGGAGTCGGTTTTGTTCTATTTTATTGGTAGTTTTTCTCTATGCTGATTTAGCAACTTTTAATTTAATTTTTTAATAAGCGGTAATTTGTAACAAAGAAATTGCCCAAAAAATTAAATAAAATGTACTGCGTTTTTATGTTTGTACTGCTTTTTTCTATCGAGAATACAAATGTACTCCTTTCTCAGTTTCAGAATCTGGCAACTTCGCAACTGCAGTTCTTTCGCATGTCATTGCCCCACAAATGTTCTTTGTGTACAGATAAATTTTTATCTTATGAAAATAAGAACAAAAAAATTCTTTGTTTATTGTTCATTGTAGCCCATATATGTATGTATGTGTGTATATATATAAGGTGCCGAGAATGTAAATAGGGAAAATGCATTTTAGCATGTTTTGGCTGCTTTTCTTTGTTTAATTTTTTTATGAAAATATAGCTTTATATCTAAAAAAATTCGTTTGAATCGAAATTCTTAGAAAATTTACAAAATTTTGCCGAATTTTAACAAATGTTGATCAAAATTTTAAACTTTTAAATTAGATTTTTTCTTTTGAAAAAATTAACAACACCTTTCTAATTAAAAAGCTCAAAACTCTGAGGAAATATTTCTCGAATTTCGCAAATTTTTGTAAAAAGTTTGAAATTTTGACTTAGCTACACTTTCATAAAAAAAATAATAAACATTAAATAATCGAAAATAGCCAAGGATGCTAAAATGTTTCGTCCCCATTTATTTTTTCGCCACTGTACATACATATGTGTTTGTGTGTTGTTTGTAAAGTAAGTACTTGTTCCTTAACTCTGAAGAAATACGAGTTTTTTCAGATAGATACTTGCATGTGTACATATGTATGTGCCTACATATATGACCCTTTTTATACGGCTTTTTTTTATGCGGATTTGAATTTATGCGGTTTTTCAAACCATTATTTCGCAGTAGCGATTTTGCTTTTTTGAGAGTTTTTATTACTTTTTTTTAGTGTGTAAGAGACAATGCTTCTGATAAATAATGTGTCTTTGTATTCTTACATAATTTATGTATTTATTGTGGTATTTTTATTTTTATTTGCAGATAAAATTTTATTAATTTCATTGATGTTCAGTTATTCATGGAATAAAAAGTGTTTGCTTAATAATACCTCACTGGATTTTTTTATGCGGGTTTTTTAGAATTTTTTACATGGAGTATCTGAATTTATGCGGTTTCTGAAAATGCTGGAACGCATTCCCTGTTTTTGTATGAGAGTAAAGAACTTTTTTATGCGGTTTCTGAGGAACGCATTTACCGCATAAAAAGAGGCCTAAGTGTATATGACTGGTGCAGAGCAATTCAATGGAAATTTTCTAGTAACAATATCTACATACATACATACATACATATGTACATACTTACATACATTTATATAATGTCAATAACACTAGAAAATTAAGACGCAAAAAATTAGCGAAGCAGCAAGGAATCATTAATGCGCAGAGTTACAGGTTTTATGCAAGGTTTCCTTGAGTCACAGTTCGAAAACTACCCCATTAAAAGAATTATATGTGTAATACTTCAACTTCAACTAGTTAAATAAAAACACCAATACTAGATCTTTGATGTTGTCCCCGATAATTGTACTCATTAACTCCATCAAAAGAATATAAACAACTTTTTAAATATCCATTAATTTATAACAAGATAATTTAATTGTACCATTAAGTTGAAATTTTCGTAAAAAAATATTTATATGTGCAAAGAAACAAGTTTAGTTATTTTCAAAAAAGTTTTATTTGTTTTACGCTTTGCGGCATATATTTTACCGAAATTTTGTAGAAAATTTGTATTATTTCCTCCTATTTGTGAAGTTTTGTTTATTTAAGTTTCAACAGGTTATCATTCTGTTTTGAATAAGTAAAAATCTTGTAGAGAAGAAGATCTTACAAATGCCCAGTGGTATTAAATGCGATATTTGAAGCTAGTTACTCTTAAAGAAGGTATTTTGTTCCTTGAATAACGATTTTGTTGTTCGCACGGTGTGAATGACAACGTTTTACGGCTGGAATTTTCAAACATCGTCGGTCGAAATGAGCGAAAAATTTGCCAACTTAATGCGCAAAGAATGCTTCTACTTCTGGATTTTTCATTTTTCCTAAAGTGAAAAGATTTTATTTCTTTTCCAAAGCTATACTCTTTTTACTTTAAGCCAGAGATTCCCTTAGCCAAGGGCAAGTTTGCCATGGAAGCCGAATTACTATCCAATATTTATGGTGGGCATCTGGATCAACTATATTGGAGTTTTTTTCATCACTGAAAATAGCGTTTTTCAATTCGCTTGTAATTTTTGTGACATAGAGATTCAAATATATTTAAATTTTTAGCGTAAATCAAGCTGTTCCTAGTAGCTAACCTTTACATATGTTATTCGCACCACTATTTTGGGGTTTGTACAGGGCCACCAAGCTTATTATTTCCATAGTCGTCGGGATTTTTAAAGGAAGTTCTTTCTTCTTCAGTTAGTTCAATGCCACGGGGTATTATGGGCCATAATATAACTAGGGAAAATAATAAAACGGTTTTTATTATGAAAATAGCTTCTATGAGTTTAACTCTCTAAATGATTTGCAATTACATACGACTGGAGACTACCACATTTTCAAATACTCTTTCGCTAACATTATCGATGTAATACATTTTTTTCACAATTTGGGCTATCGCCGAATCCATCTTAGTCCGATTTTCGATAAATCTACGAAAATGCAATAACTTAATACGAATTGCTACGGACGTGTAAAATCAAAGTATATGCTACGTTCGTAGCTCTTCGGATTTAGTGTTAGCATTTTTGTAAATTTCACGAAAAATTGGAAAAAATAATGGAACGGGCATATATTTCTGTTGCAAACCTGGGTTGCCTTGTGCTCTTTTTTCACAAAAAACTTTAGAAAACCGTAGTAGAAAGCGTAGCAAATTCCTTAAGAACTGCGTACTGCCTTAAGGAAATTTGACTCAAGAAAATTTCTTAGCCATTTCTTGTACATCATTTAGAGTTTTTGCTTTTCTTGAGAGCTGCATACAGGCCTTTAATACGTAATTAGATAGATTAAGGCCAGTACGCAGCTCTCAAGAAAAGCAAAAACTCCATATAAAATGACGTACAAGGAATCGCTAAGAAATTTTCTTGTGTCAAATTTTCTCGAGGCAGCAAGTACACAGTTCGCAAGAAATTTGCTACGCTTTCTACCACGGTTTTCTAAAGTTTTTTGTTTTTGTGAAAAAAGAGCACAAGGCAACCCATGCTTGCAACAGAAATATATGCCCGTCCCATTATTTCTTGAGGAAAGAGCGAGACAACAGGCCTGTGAAGTATCTGATGTCAAAATGCCTTGGACACACGAACGAAATAATGGCAATTTTTTTCTTGACCGTTTTCTTGAGAGCTTCATACAGGCCTTTATGATTTTGGAGTGGGAAAGGAATAGACGGCGTATTAGTTGGAAATGAACATTTGCCACAGTGGCGGAAAAGTAATGATGTCACCATGAATATATGTACATATTTTATATACAATACAAATGGCATATGCATATGTATGTATAATTGCATGTGGGTACGTAAGTACATATTTATGGATGTACATAAGTATTTAATTATATACAACTTGCATATGTACATACATATGTACCTGAATCCACGAATCCACGTCAGCACGATTAATAGCATTAACACTTTTTATTTAGGATTCGTGAGTGGAATTCTAATTTTGTTTATTAGATTAGAGTCATATGTATGTACATATAGGTATATTCATAAAAATGCATACGCATGTACATACATATGTACATATCTTTACTTTGATATGTACAGAAAATTCCCAAACATATTTGTTTCTTCATAAACTACAGTCAAACTTCCTTTACTCGAACTTATATAAATCGAGCTAAGTCAAGTGGCAATAGCGTTTAG